AGAATTATATGCATTTACAGTGCTCGGTTCACTTTTCGGCCATTTAAACAGAAATGTTACGAAATGAAAGCAAGATTAAACTGTTGGTAAGAATCAATTGTTGGTTACTATTTTCATCTTTACTTTACAATTTCTCTAGCGATGCACTATTCTTTTTTTTTCTAAACTTTTGAATTAATTTTTGCCTCCTTTGCCTTTGCATAATGCTCATAAAAGTAGTTGACAATTAAATGATGCCTTGACAACTCCTGTCTCTGTGGCGCCATTGATAAAGTAACAGCACAAACAAAAAGCAAAATTTTATGACATTTTGCGTCGATAATCAAAACCATAGAACATTTTTTTCACATTTTGACTTTACGGTTAGAATGAGTTTTCTTCTTGTCGTTGCTCTGAAAAGTAAATAGATGTTTCTATTAGGTAAAGCTTATGGTGAGCAATGCAGATTGAAAATGTAACGTGCAGTTTTTATTTGATAGAATGTTAGGAGAGAAGAAACAGTAAAATGAGTAATAACTGTAACTACTGAAAGCGATAATTTGCAATGAAGCTGGTGTTGTAAACTGAGTAGCGCAGCTTTGACAAACTTGAAATCACTACCGTTTTTTAAGCACGAGTTCTCACAGAAAAGTTTGCAGCAGTAACGTATTCATTGTCAACAGCTTAAAAGTGCAGTTGTGCAACAATGTTTACCAGCCTTGAAACATTGCTTTTATCATACAGTAATCTGGCGAATTTGAGAGTAAAAAGCTTTATAAAAACAACAAATAAATACATTTGTAGCCTTTTTCTAAGATAAACAAAATCTGCAATCAAAGACTTTCTTGTAGAATTCAGATTTTTCTTCTACTATTTCGTTTTTGGCATTAAGTGAAGTTATTATTATGTTCCAACGACTTGTTAAAAAGCTCATTCCTGTTTTCATACGCATAGTTTTTGACTTAAAACACCACATCTTTCAGACTTTTTCTGCTGAAATCACTTTTTTTGTTCTGTCTGCCAAATTCCTTCGTTTTGACGATGGTCCAAGTTTTTTGAATATTGTTTTCTAACATCCGTTACTTCTTTGCGCTTGGGGCAAGAAGTTCAGAAAGAATTAGAGTAGTGAAAAATCACGTTATTGCTTCAAAAAAATATAACCTGTTTTTTTAAATAAAAATTTATCATTTGTGAATCATAAGCCTCTTACGACAATAAACGCCAGTTGAATTGCTGTAATCGCATATGATAAGCAAACAGTGGCCACGGCTCTTTTTTTTTGTTTTCAATCTGTTAGTGATGGCACTAAAAACAAAGATACAGCAGCTCAGTGTGCAACTTAATGGTTTTGGAGAATTGTGGCACTTAAGAAGCTAAAGTATTCAAAACTTTAGTTTACTTTTTCTTACCAACAAAACAGTCGTTTCTATTTTTTTAGTGGTTGGCTTATTACGACATATATCGCTTCTTATTCATTTTTGGAAGTTTTTAATTTACCTCTTAGTTGCAGATGGAGTATTACTACGGAGAGCAACTAACTCAATACGCAGAAAAAGGAGACCTAGAAGGGATTCGTGTGTTATTGGAGAAACATCAAGAATTCGATGAGGAAAGAATTGAGGAAGCTATGGTTAATTTGGTTTTCTAAGCTACAGTGATACTTTTTTTTCAAAATTAACAAGTTATTAGATACAAACGTAAAGAAAACAATAATATAGCAACTTGAAGCTGCTTAGTTTGGATACAGTAGTACAGAACAACAGAAAGGTTTCATCAAGACAGTTTCTGTCAACCACAGGTGAAGCGTTGCTAGTGGCGTACCTTATTTTACAACGTTTATGAAATACGTTTAACTGCGAAAAACCAACTGTTTTACGTACTTTTTGAAAATATTCTGTAGACATTGAATGTTCTGTAACATTTTTTCAAAAGTGTTATTGATTTTCTGCGCAAAAAAAATGAATACGGTGTATTAATTTTAATAACAAGTAATTTTGGAAAAAAAATCTATTAATTTTGCATCAAAACTGCTGTGAGACCAATTTTCTTTGTATTGTTTTAGAAAACAGCGCTGTTTGCAGCGTCTAGAAAAGGACATACAGGTATTGTAAAAATGTTAATCGATTACGGAGCTAATGTTGTGTCAACGGATGAACTTGAAGTAATACTTTGCTGTTAACTCTT